TATGTATGTATGTATGTATGTATGTATGTATGTATGTATGTATGTATGGACAGCCGTTTTAGTCAAAATACAATAAGTAAGTAAATAAATAAATAAATAAATAAATAAATAACTAAATAAGGTAAAATTTGATAAATACATTAATAATATAAAGACATATTGAGCCTGGCTTGGAGGCGATGTGTGGTGTGTGTCAGAGGCTGCTGAATATATCTAGGACAAACTGACACAGATTATAGGATTTTTAGCAGGAAAGAAAACAAACACAATTAATTTGGCTTGAGTTAACTCTGTTACTAATTTACAAAGTAAAAGCAAATGTTAAACTGCTCATCAAAATATGAGTTCCAGTAACAGCAGGTCAGTGGATGAGTGGGGCTGTGCCCACCGCAGCCCATCATTGTGTAAAGCATACCTTGTCCTAGTTGACCTCCAGATAACGCCTCCTTAGCCGTACCAAAGCCCAGCTCCCGGCACACCACAGTGGCAGAAAGCAGGTTCCAGCTGTCATCACAAATGGTACCCCACTCTCCGTTTTTCAGGACCTCCACACGGCCCTCGCCGACGATGGCTCCACCACGAAGGCGAACCAGCGACTGCTGCAGACGACATAATGAGACGCTGTGAAGACGAGTCAGTGTAAAAACMGAAATTTAGAAACTGCCAAAGGCAGCAAAAACCACAGACGTTAGTTCTTTTTGACCTTCTAGGAAAAAAATAACTGAGTCAAATGTTTGGAGCATCATTTTTTCCTGAAGCAGCAGACTGGTTGCTTCATGTTTAAAGAACATACAGTTCTTCCACTAGTTGTTAGGAGAAAGTGAAGGTACATTAAACACAAACATCTGTGTGTGGGCTAGTGTTAATATACTGCTAACAGTTATAAAAAGGACCACAAATTCAGCTGTTGGAGGTTTTATTTTATGATTTCATTTTGTATTTATTCTAATGCACAACTGAACCATAAGATCACGACCTCACAGACAAAGCAGTTAAWGTTGCTTTCATCCCAACAGCATCATTTCATATTTTTAAACAGTTTATGATGTTACTGTGTCATAAAGTTTGTTTATCCTTTTGTTAAAGGAAGAAAAACTCACGAAGGCCACAGAAATAATTTCAAACTGACTACAATAATAAATCAGTTATTGCTTTAGAAGCTTAGTTCAACATGATTTAAAAAAAACTGGATATCACACAGTGGTAGCATATGTGATATATAAATTCTGAAGTTCCTATCTTGAATAGTTTTTGAGTTATAAGCATTTTTGTATGTCCAGACACCCCCTTTTCAGATGGAGCCCCCTCCTCAAATATGGGGTCTATTGTAAAACCACTGTCTGGCGCAGTGTAGGTCAGACTCATCTACATTCCTACCAAATTTCATATTGATTGGTGCAGCCGTTTCTGTGACACGGTTCACCAAAAATCACTGAAAAAATAAACAAACAAAAATAAACTTTACAAAAACAAGTACAATAAACTTAATAAACTTAGTTGTCTTAACAAAAAGGCTGGTACTCCTAAAAAAGGAGTACCAACTAATGAGTCCACAGGCATATGTTAAAATCAGCATCTCAGATGTCTTCAGTCTGTAATCAGTCTGTTTAAAGGAGGACTGGTAGTCACAGGGCTGTTTGGTGTCATGGTGTGTACCACACAAACATAATGACTGACATCATGTTAAAGGTAAAGACTATCAGATTATACCCAACAGCTGGATGTTCCTGAGACTGCAGCTGCTCAGATTGTTCAGAAGGGCCACAGGACTGAAGACAGCCTCCCTGGATGTGTTCACAAGAAGACATGGATCAATACAAACAATAACTAAAGAGCCTGGAACACTTCCAAAGAGGTCAGAGGTGAACTCCAAGATCAAGGTTTATCAGAGTCAGATCAGAAAATAAGTCTGATTGAGACAAAGTGGACTTCATGGAAGACGACTGAGGATGACACCAAAGCAGAAAAAAGAGCCAAAATACAYGCTGACAAGTCACAAAGCTTGTGGGACAGTGTCAGACAGAGGAAACAAAAGTCCCATCAGCTCTGTGTTTACTGGGCCAGGACTGAAACACATAACAGAACCCTCGACCTACAGGGAAACATGGACCAGGTTCGGTTCTGAATCTGACACAGGTGCCATGCATCTGTGCAGGGTACAATGACATCTCAAGGCTATAAAGCATTCTGGAGCAAAATGTGCCTGTTTCCAAATTACCTTTTTGTTTAAGCTACTAGAAAAACTGTTTGTGAAGAAAAACAAACTTTCAGTCTGCTTTAAAACAAATTTTCCACACAGTCCTGAAACTCTGAATATCCCCTGCTGCCAAAGGCAAAGCTGAAGAGATCAAGTTTTTGTCCGTCTGAATGTTTTTCACATTTTAAAGGGCCAATATTATGTGTTTCTCAGGCATATATTTAAATACTTTGCCATAATAAAGTATCTATGTCACCTTTAGCTGTTATTAAACTGCTGGTTTTATGTTTAAATAGAAAATAAACTTGTCTTCTCATCACTTCCTCTTCTAAACGCCTTGAAATTGGCCTCCATTTCAGTGCTAGGGGGGCGGGGTCGCACACGCGCTATGATGCAGTTTACTTGGCATCTGAAAATACATTTCCTCAAAGGTATTTTGAATCTGAAAAGAGCTTCACTGAGTGAGCAGCAGCGTTAAGAGCCAAGAGTCATGGGCGGGGTGTGTGGGGTGGGGAGGTGTGCTCCGTGATGAGGAAGTTCAGCTTAAACACACATCCCAGAGGCGTTTCTGGTCCCCACCTGTTGTTTTGCTCCTCAGCATGACTTCCTAAAAACACTGCAGGATTTCTCAAACATGCATGAATGAGTCAAAGCAAGGCTTTGGGCATGTTTTTTATGAGAGTATAACATTGTAACATGATATAAAACTCAAAAAAGTTGATTTTACATGATATTGCCCCTTTAAAGGTGGCTATAATACAGTTTGTGTTGTCTTTTACAAGCAAACAAAACAGATCCAGTTAGTGGGTGCTGTTTCAGTCGGTGTGATGTGCGGGACGTGCTAGAAGGTCTGGAGCTCCTCCCCACTCAGCCCTCAGCTGTGGAACGTGACACAGAGCACACAGAGGCTCCACGCTCACATCACATCATGAAGCCATACTCGCAGACATTTGTGTCAACGCTGAGGAACTCTAATTATTCACAGGACCTGACTGACTGAGTTTTATGGAGCCTGAAACTTTTACATCAGGAGTTAAATGCTCGTGAAGGTAAAGGTCAGAGGTACAGATCCAGCAGGGATCCAAGAGAACACGTATCAATTTTTCCACTGCATGAGCAAAGGGATGTAAATATACGAGCTCCACAAGTGCCCACTTCTCTAACACCTCCTCTCCTTTGCTTTTAGCTCCTTCACCAGATGTTAGAGCAGGAGGCCTGCAGGGACTCTCTCCCACTGGAAACATACTGGTCACAGGTGGTGCCAAGTCAGCACAAAGCTCTCAGCAGAGGAGGGAAACTGGACCGGGGTGAGGGTGTTCCTGGACTGCTGACGTTGACAGAACATGTCCGCTTATTGCTCCTCTCTGATCTCATTAGAGGTTTTCAGCTCAAACCAGGCCCGTTCTCCCAGAACAAACCAGGACACAAAAAGTTTAGCACTGGTCTGAGAGCAAGTCAACATGCTGCTCTCACATCTACATTAGTGAGGCGGACAAACAGGGCTGAGGCCTAATGTTAATGCTAAATTTCATCAAARATCTTGCACAATGTGTGGTACTCCAAGTACGAGTTGGGGATGAGGCTCAGCTACTACCACAACAAAGTTTAGTACAACATCTGTAAAACTGTGAGATACAATATATTTACAGCTGAACCAGAGGTTTTTATAAAATGACGCATAATTGTTTTATCATTGTCTGACATTAGGATGTATTCACACTGGAAAAATCCTTCAGTCCACTTGTTTGGTCCAGACCAAATAGTGGACTTAATTTTTTTTCCTTTGGTTTGCAGTCACATTGTGCTTTTTGCAAGTGGACTATAATGTATAAACAAAGCCATGCAGGTGATGGTCATTGCTCCCATTGGACAGAAACGACAGGGGAGGGACAGCACAGACCCAGAAATAAAGATGGTGTTAATACAACTGACTATTAAGAATACTAAGAGCAGCTCATTCAGTGGTGGTTTTGCGATGATATATTTATAATTTTTGGACAGCGTTGTCAAATGTGTGCCACAACCTAAAGGAGACAAGATGCTCTGCGTTCTCTGACCAACAACGGGTCATTGTTTGTAGCATAGTGTTAGCATTAGCAACACTGGAGGGCTAATGTTACTTAGCTACGGTGGCCAGTGAAGTCCAAAAAGGCACGTTTCCTGAAGTTTGTTCGGTTCAAGGCCGGTCTGTATTCACACTAGAAATGAACCGCACCAGAGTTTGTTTGGAAGCGGGCCAAGGCCTCAAAAAACAGGTCTTGGTCCAGTTGTTTGATCTGCAGCAGGGTTAGCATGAGTGTATTCACACCTGCAAAAAAGGTCCGGACCAACAGGAGAAAATAACTCTGGTCTGTTTAAAGAGGACCAAATGTGTCAGGTCTGAATACACCCCAAAACAGACAAAATCCTTCCTGTTTTATGGATGGAAGGTTGTACGGATGGATGGATGGATGGATGGATGGATGGATGGATGGATGGATGGATGGATGGATGGATGGATGGATGATGGATGGATGGATCTGATGGTTCTGATGTATCTACTGCAGCTGAGGCTTTACCTCCTGTCTGAAGGCCTTCCTGTAGCCCGCCATGGGTGTCGGGGAGAAGGCTCGTCCAGGCACACAGCTCACAACCACTGGCATCCCATCAGAACACGTGTTGTTGGACTTCAGTAATGTGGTCTGACCCAGTTTGCAGCTGGACAGATGGGCTTCAGTACCAGTGCAGTTGACAGAAAAGTCCCAGTATGTTGGCTTCCTCCTGCGAGCAAACATCCTGGACAAATGGAGAACAAACAAAGGTTGGTATTATATTACTGCAGATAAATAAAGGATGATGAACTGATGGATGCTTTGGTTATGAAACACTTGCAGAGCACAGAAAATACCAGAAATACCACACAACCTTCAAACTGAAGTCATTAAAATCTGAAAACCCTCATCAGCTCACATGAACTGTAATATTTCATTATTWGTTCAGCAAAGTACAAAGATGAACTGAAAAAAAAACTGCAAATCTTTTTACTACAAAACATGATAAGTGGTGCAGGCATASACTATATTGCCAAAAGTATTGAGCCAGGGAGTCAGACAGAAGGTTCTGGTCTGTGGGAGGAGGTTTCCTCTAAACTAACATCTCTTTCCATGTTGACTAGACTAGCGTCGCACAATATCAGGAAAACCTGTAATGTGCAGTAACAGTACTTATTGCAATGACGATATGACTTACGATAAATCAAAAAATACTTAAGTAAACAGTGTTGATGTTTTTCTGCTCTGGGTTCAGAACAAAAAAACAACTAAWACATAATTTTCATTACAACATGGAGTGATTATGATTTGATGTTGTTTCTCTGGTCCATTTTGTACATCTACTGACGTTGACAAACCACAAAAAATGCAAACATTAGAGCCAATGATTTCTTGCAATTTATGCTTTTTTTGTGATATGTATATTGCACTGGCTGTTATCGCAATAACAATAAATTTGTGATATATTGTGCAGCCCTAAACCAGACAGTCTAAAAAAGGCAGCTGGTTGTCTTTAACATCCTCTCTGGCAAACTTGATGCTGTCAATTTGGTTGACATGTCTGGTGAAAGCTTTTACTTCCTTAGCTTGGAGTTTGGCCCAGATACGGGCCATATATCAGAACCAAGTTCAACAATCTTTATTATTTTCAAGGGGCAATTTGTTGCACAGCCAGGAGGCATAAAAACAAAAACATTCATTCACAAATGCAAAAATCCCAAATGTTCATTAAGAACTTGAACAGCTGCTGGGATAAATGAGTTTTTAAATCTATTAGTTCTACATTTGGTCAACTGATACCTGTGTCCAGACAGAAGCAGCCTGAACTCACCCTAGAGTGGGGGATCAGGGTCTTCCAGAATCAGTCTGGACTTTTTCAATGACCTGACCGTGTAGGTCAGTGAGGTTCTGTAGGTCTACATCAGCAGTTCTGCTGCACATCCTGACTATCCCCAAGAGTTTGTTCCTGTTCTTACATGTTAAAATACCAAATAAGTTAAAAACAACTCAATAAACATGAATAAAACATTCTCATAAAGTAGAATCAACACTAAAACTACAGAGCTTTCACTAAAAATAGACCCTCTGATGGGCCTTCTTATAAAGTGAGTTCACATGAGCGTCAAAAGTCAGTTTCATCCAGAACAGTTCCAAGATACTTATATTAGTGTACGACCTCAACAGCTTCACCATTAATAACCACAGGAGTGGCAACCAATGAGTCTTTTCTAAAATCAATGAGCATCTCCTTCATTTTTGAAACATTTAACTGTAAAAAAAGAAAATTCACATCAGTGATGACCCTGACCACCGGCCCGTGGTCAGTAATCACTGCTGAGAAGAGACGGGATGACAGAATCATCAGCAAACTTTAAAATGTGACGCTGTGGATACTGGCTGCGACAAGCATTTGTATATAAAATAAATAAAAGAGGTGAAAGAACGCAACCAGGGAGCCCATAGAGGACAGAAGGACATCAGAGAAAACCCTGTTGACCCTCACCTGCTGGGACCGAGCAGTTAAAAAGTCCACGAGCCAACATATGAGACTTGAATCCAGACCATAAGAACGTTGTAATTTGTCTGCTAAAATGTGGGGTTGAATACAGAACCAGTGGCTCTCTTTTCCACTTCCTCCATGTAGAGATTGACCACAATCAGAGAAACTGGAGAACTCATGGCACAACCAAACTATTATTAAAGCTGAAGTAAGTGGTGGAAAGACTGAGGTCTAGCAGGGTACAGATCTGTTCTGAGGTAAAATTGGCTCTTTAAACAGAGSAGGTCTCAGATTTCAGCTTTGTAAAACTTACAACGAAGCATTAAGCCTGATACTCAGACAGTTTCACTCCAACAMTGATGAATGTGACCAAAGCATGATGGTGACCCTTAGGCAGGAGACGGAGTGAGATGAATCTGCAGTGAAATTAGTTACATAAACAGAACATCTCATGCAGTTTAAAGCTTGGGACTACAGAACAGAAGTCTTTAGTATTGTTTTTAATTTGGGTCTCATTTCTCACATTTTTGGATTCTAAACTAAAACAGGTTTTAACAGCCACAACCAATCATCTTTGGAAAATATTTGTTGCACTTTTTTAATGAGTTAAAAGTTCCTGTGATTTAAGCAAAGAACTTAGAAGTCCTGCAAACCCCTTTGTAAACACAATTTACAGTTTATTGTCAACAGTTKCAGCCCAGTGAAATACTGACTAAAGAAATGAGATAAAGGAAGTTGAATTTTCATGCATAAAAACAAACCACCAGTACAGGAAGTTCTCATCACGCKGTGACTCAAAGCTGTCAATTTAAAGGTGAATTTTCAGTTTCAGTCTCACTGAATTCACGTCACGTCAAGTCAYGTCACGTTACATTAGGTTAGGTTACGCTATGCTATGCTACGTTACGTTTGGACAATTTTTGAAAATCATTTGTGTGCAAAGCTTAAGACAACTGTGCAAATTATTTTTTTTGGTCCACCGCCACCCCTATTGGCCTATTTTCCACCCACCTTGCAGGCCGTCCTTATGCTTATGGTTTAATACAGTGTTGTATAAAGTACCTCAAAGTGATACTTGAGTAAAAGTACAAGTATCTTATCATGAAAATACTTTGGTAAAAGTTAAAGTCTTCTCTAAAAATATTACTTGAGTAAAAGTCTTAAAGTATCAGATTTTTTTGTACTTGAGTATCAAAAGTAAATTTCTGACACAAAATCTACTGAAGTATTAAAAGTAAAAGTACTGAGTAAAAGTGAGCAGTTAGATTTTCCAAAATAACATTTATTGGGAGGTGACTTCTCCAAAAAATATTTTTTCTAATGGCGTGCAGCTGTGATGGGTTTTGTACAAGCTAATTGGGTGTCAGAATGGTTTATATTTATACTTCTTATCCAACCACAATTAAATTCACTCTATCCAGGAGGCACAGTTTATCAGGATAGTTTTTTTTAAGTACAGTAATAACAACTCAGAATAAAGTAGGAGTTACAACTTTCTACTTCTCGACGAGCTCCCTGCTCAGGTCACAATACAACTCCAGCTCCTCTGGACTGACGCACAGCTCTGAATATTTTCAGAGAAAATTTCTGTCTGTCTGAATACAATGAAATCAGTTTTCAGGATAATAATGAATCTTGTGACAGATTCATTCTTCAAAAATATAACAAACAGGCAGTGAAAGCTGTTTATGAAGGTGACTCTACATCTGTCAAAYAGTAACGTTCAGATTCAGAGACGCTAACCAGACAACCAGCAGAATAAGTCTCCAACACTGAAGGTCAAACCAGACTCCTGACTCTCAGAGTGATGTAATGTGTGAGCATTCACTCAGGGAGATACATCCTTTCTTACATAAGGAAGCTGTAATTAATCACAGGTTAGTTATGGCCGACAGTAAAACTCCTGAGACTTYAGATAAGATTGGATTTACTTTCTGCGTGTGCTGGAAGTTTCCGGCTTTAGATAACYGCAGGAGAGCATGTCGGCTTCTGAACTTTCCAGCTACGTGTCAGTCTGCTCGTGCTTCAGCCCCACGAAACATTACAACATGCTTCTACAGGCTGCAGGTTTTACACAAAGCCTGGAGCACGACTGGCTCCTAATCCTGTGCTCCTCTGGTCACCAGGATCAGATCTACACATTCAGTCACTTTCAGATTAAAAAGAAAGTTTTTATAAAATCAGCAAAGGAAGAAATAAGATGTTTTAGCYCCAATTTGTCATTTTTATTGAGACAAACGATTAAAAGAAATGTTCTTTTGTTTTGCATGGGTAGTAAAAATACATATTTTATTTCAAGAGATGACCCATGTCAATAAAATCAAAAAAATATGTCARTGTGTAATTTACTGACTCAATTATCCAATATATAAATTTTCAGACGTCATGCTTATCACCTGCTGTCTTTTGTAACATTGTAACAAACCTTCACCGTTATGAGGATTCAATTACACTTCTTRTAACAAAGTTATAAGGAAATTATTTAGCAATGATCTCTTMTTTTCGGTAAGTATCTCTCACATTTAAAARTGGACAAAACACAATAAGATGAGCATGACTCAGTGACTTTAGTTGATCTAACAATAAATGTAATCATTTATTTACAGAATCAAAACAAATCAGGATGATGCAGAGAACAAGCAAGTAAAGAGACTGATTTTGTTGGAGCAGCTGAGGCTCAGACTAAGATAGAAGAGGGAACATAAAATCAGTAAAATTTAATGGTGGAGATAGAGTGGCCCGCCCCTCTAAGAATTTCACGGCATGTAGTCATTTTTATTTAAATAAGGCCAGATCAAGTCCAGAGCTATTTTTTTGCGTCCCTCCATATCCACCTTTCACCAAACTTGGGGGAAAAGACGGCGCAGAGCAAGGCTGAGCGCTGTGTGTGGTCCTCATAAAGATAGGAAGACGTGTGTGAGAATAGACGCGCAGCTCTGCTTTTAATCACATTGCACCGATGTGACAGCTTTGAGAATGTCAACCTGCTGACNTGAGGTGTTCAGGTAGGTGAGGTGTTCAGGTAGGTGAGGTGTTCAGGTAAGTGAGGTGTTCATGTAGGTAAGGTGTTCAGGTAAGTGAGGTGTTCAGGTAGGTGAGGTGTTCAGGTAAGTGAGGTGTTCAGGTAGTGAGGTGTTCAGGTAAGTGAGGTGTTCAGGTAAATGATGTGATCAGGTAAGTGATGTGTTCAGGTAAGTGATGTGTACAGATAGGTGATGTGTTCAGGTAGGTGATGTGTTTAGGTAAGTGAGGTGTTCAGGTAAATGAGGTTTTCAGGTAAGTGAGGTGTTCAGGTAGGTGAGGTGTTCAGGTAAGTAATGTGATCAGGTAAATGAGGTGTTCAGGTAGTGAGGTGTTCAGGTAAGTGAGGTGTTCAGGTAAATGATGTGATCAGGGAAGTGATGTGTTCAGGTTAGTGATGTGTTCAGGTAGGTGAGGGGTTCAGGTAAGTGAGGGGTTCAGGTAAGTGAGGTGTTCAGGTAAGTTATGTGTTTAGGTAGGTGATGTGTTCAAGTAAGTGATGTGTTCAGGTAAGTGATGTGTTCAGGACCTGTCTTACACTCAGAGGTCAGACCTGTCTTACACTCAGAGGTCTGACCTGTCTTACACTCAGAGGTCTGACCTGTCTTACACTCAGAGGTCAGACCTGTCTTACACTCAGAGGTCTGACCTGTCTTACACTCAGAGGTCTGACCTGTCTTACACTCAGAGGTCAGACCTGTCTTACACTCAGAGGTCTGACCTGTCTTACACTCAGAGGTCTGACCTGTCTTACACTCAGAGGTCAGGCCTGTCTTACACTCAGAGGTCAGACTTGTAGACCTCCTGCAGCTCTGTAAGGTTCTTCTTCTTAAAAGCAGAAGGTTTTCTTCTCTAAAGAAGCGGTGGAACCACATCAACATTCATACCAGAACTCTTCTGTCAGCAGCAGGATCTCAGAATGACTCATGATGTCACCTGGGGCCTCGTAGATGAAAGAGTGCAGCTTTCATGCTGAAAGTTGGCGTAAGGACAAAATACCCAGATTTGTCAAACTGTGCACAYGTTTCTGTGCTCCTTTCCTTCAGACATCACATGGAGCAGAGCACTGCTGCACGTGCTGCTGTGCTCTGCTCCATACCTAAAGAAATATGGAAACTATTATAAATACATGACAGACTTCTACCCCGTGTCCAAATAACCTGTGATAAGCACAGATTAACTGTATTGTTGCATCATGCTGTGTTTAAACAGTGCAGTCTATGAATTAGGCGGAATCTGTATTAAAAATGGCAGAAAACACTTCAGAGTTTTAAATTTGTTGCCTCCTGCAGAGGGGTATTTAACAATATGCTATAAAACCTTCCATGAGTCAAAGCTTCCAAACGCTGAATAAAATATTTGACCTTTTAACACTGTGGCAATTGAAAATAGACAATCTGCTTGTGTTTAAAAGGAGCCGGTCTACTTACTTGTAGACTCTGGTGTTGTAGTTCCTCTCCCCTGGGAATCCGAACATGCCACAGATGACCCTGCTGTTGAGCTCAGTCCACTCCGAGTTACAAATCTGCTTCCATCTGCCATCATCTTTCACCTCCACATAGCCCTCCGTGATGGGGATTCGTTTACGGTTCGACGACAGGATGGGTCGTATGCGCACATCCTCCACTCGAATATCTAGGTTCTGTGGGAAAATACAGACACAAGTGGCTCCAGAAAAATGTTTTGTTTTTTCCACTGTGTATTGAGCAAAACTGTCAATGTTCTAAGTGAAACAACGAATACAACACATGACTAAAACAAACATGCAGTAATACAGTCTGAATGCTGAAAATAAGATATTAAAGCTAAAAGTAGCCTAACACACAAGTAAACATCGTGACAAAAGTAATTTAAAAGGTAGAAAAAAATACAAAAACTAAAATTATGAATGTTATGATAAATGAATGGCTAAAAAGAGGAGTAGTTAAGACAAGTCACTTCTAATAAGTGTGGACTTTGGGGGAGCAGAAACCTTCCTGAGTCTTGGAAGATGGAGTCTGACACAGATGGAAAAATCATCAGATGAAATCCACGGGAGAACTAAAATCTGTTGCAACACAGATCTGACTCAGAGGTGAAGTTAAGGTTGGACTAACAATTTATTCCAGCCAAAACCATTTTTCATTAAGATTGTAAAATATAAAACACATCAAATGATCCCTTTCCATGTCAAACCTGTGGGTTTCTTTCAACACACCTCTTTCTGCCTCACAGACAGGAAGAAAGGGTCGTTCATGAATCCTTGTTCACACAGACGAAGACGAGATGAAAAAAATGCTTTTATTCTGATAATTGATCTCTTGATGAGAGAACAATAAATAAAATTAGGTTCACATCTATTTGGACACAGATTTAAAGTTAGTTTTTTTTACCTGTTTACTGAAAGAGATCCATGATTACTTGTAACATTAGACTTTATTTAATAAACATATATTTTAACTGTAAAATAAAGACTGTAAAATTACTGTAGGATGTTCAATTTTTATCATTTTTAAACAAAGTTTAAAAGTATTTTACACGGACGGGGCCATTTTATTTACACTCAAAGCATTCTGGGTAAATGAAGACATCAATTATGGTGCGTTCACACTGACCTTGAATGAATACTGTCTGATTTATCTTGTGGCATTTTGGACTAAACAAAAATCACGAAATGCTCATCTTAGAATGCAACAGTTACTTAAAACATTTGGTCAAGATGTTCAATACCGACATATTCCTTCTTTAAATCTGACACAGCTCTATAAAGTAGGCTGTAGGCAGTCATACAGTCAGTCAGGAGCTGGGTCCTTCAAAAGACCCGGGCTACCTGGTCTAGTTGGGCTGGGTCCTTGGTAGACCACGAAGACCTGAAAAAAGCTGTGAATTTGGATGATCTACTCTTCTGCTTTATTTCCACCCTTACCCCGGCGTATGTCCTGTTACTTAGCAATCGTCACAACACTACACAGAAGCAAATATAGATTGTTTGTATTAATATTTTAACTGCATTATTATTTTAAATTAACAAAATTAGCTTAAAAGCTTTATTTGAAGAACTAAGGGACCCACATGTTTGTGCATGTTTATTTCACCATACCAGATCGTCTGACATCTAAACAAATGACAAAAGCATTTACAGCACAACCACTTGAAACTTTCAATGTTTATACTGCTGAATTTTTTTAAAAACTGTTTTACTTTCTCTCGCTTCAAGCAAAAAAATCTCTTGTTGGCCCACAATCCATTATGGGATATGGAGAAGGATCCACAGGAACCGTCCCTCAAATCGGGAAAAAGAAGGACATGTTTGTGGGCCACATCAGAGGAGTCATCAAATTTGGACAGCCTCTGTTGCGGCGCTGTGATGTAAGCAGCTGACAAATTCGGGCTCGGAGGATACAGCGCCTGAATTTGGACACAGCCAATTTCTAGGTTGTAGACAACAGGATGCAGGAACAGGTGAACCACATTTATTTATACAGGTTTTCAAGGTTACTGTCTATGGTTATTCCAAGGTATTTTACACCATTTGATGACCATTTTAATGGATTATAGAGTTTGGAATGGTCAAAACGTGTTAATGGCATTATTTAGCTTATTTCCACCTGGTGAACTGTAATTTTACTCAAAGAGAATATTATGATGGGAAGATTTTTAGGAGTACGAAATTACTATTTTAATTTAGCGTGAGTTAAAGTGTAACTTACCCCCCTGTGAAAASATAACTCCGCCCCAAGGCGAAATTTGAAAAATGCATCAAAGTGGGTAGGGGAGGGGGTGTGGGTGGAGGAAGGGGGGTTAGAGAGCGGAGGTGTGGCCAGGTCGAGAGAACGTGACAGGCAGCTAGCATTAGCATAATTGATGCTACATGGAAAGTGACCACAGTATCGCAGACATCTCTGAACGTCTGAGGTGGAGGATTTTCACCCCACACCAGCACCGGACAGAGGAGTAGCGCTCTGAC